TTCTTGAGATAGAAGTGGAACAGTCGAACACACATACACACATACACACACCCACCCACACACACACACACACTAACTGCAAAGACTCCCCATTATGTGCTTCGCACATGGGAGTCAATAATACAATAACTCAAAGATTTATTATGTTATAACAAATGCAACAAAAACTAATATCACATTAACAAGTTATGACAAATAATACAGTACAATAGGAATGTCAAGGCTACAGCATCAACTTAGCAACAACAGTTACTTAGCTAGATAATACGACTTTGGGTACAACTGACACCTAAGATTATAAATGCAAACTCAACAGAGCACATGGAATGGATATATTTACTATGTTAGCTAAATATGTACATAACATTAGATTCTGTGCAGTTACTTCATGTTAACTCTGATCAGCAAGGGGCATAATACAGCTACCATATTTCCCCTATATGGTTACTGAGTATGTATTATTTTATAACCATTTGCTTCAGTCTTTCACAAGTTTAAATGATATTCTTGTATTTATCCCTCAGAGATATGCACCATATTTTCTCTATTAGTGGTACATGTGCTTATATCAAAATTGCGCAAATGCGTCCAATAGAATTTTCACAATCCTGCATACACTATTAGCTGATGTATGCTTTTATTGAAATGTGCATCTAGTAAAGCAAATATGTTATGTGCGCACACTTTTTTATTCACATAAACAATATACCGGTATATTTTACAAAAATTTTGTAAACTCCTGCAATACAAAATCAAAAGTCCAAAATTGAAGATGACACTTACTGGTACTAAAATTTGACATCACCTCATAGGATAACAAGCGACCTGATGGTCGAAATAGCTCCACTGTCCTACAAGAACATCGTGGTAGGCAAGCCGATCCGCAAAACAAAATGCGATTACCGATAACTCACAAAAAGTAGTTTTGTTCTGGCTGTTGAGAACATGTCAACTTAACTTCATCAAACAAATTGTTCACAAAAATAAGGTACATCACAAATATCAAAGCACGATTGGGCTACTAGTGTTCAAATATTTGCCAAAAATAGAGAATTGAAGATATCGGCATGAAATGAACAAATCTGACAGAGGTCTACCCAAGGTGCCTACATATCCAGTATTAAAACAATTAGGTTGGTAGTGTTTAAGAAGAATTCAAAAATATTATTTTGTACCAAAAACGACAAAAATATTCACCAAAAATAGAGAATTGATGATATCGGTACTAAATCAACAAATCTGACAGAGGTCCACCCAAGTATAAATTGAGCTGTTAAGTCAAAAATAGCATTTGTTCCGAGAAATTACAAAATGTTAACAAACGACAGACGGATGACGACGGACTATCACCTATATGAACAGCTCCACTCTGTCAAACTGTAACTTTACATTAATTTTTTTTTAAGATGTGATACTAATGAAGAAAATATGGTCTGTTTTCTATATTATTAAACATATTTAAAAGAAACATCCCATGCAGAAAAAGAGACGTTTGGTTTACAGATGTTTTCCAATTACAGGGTTCAGTTTACAGAGGGGTTCAGTTTACAGAGGGGTTCAGTTTACAGAGGGGTTCAGTTTACAGAGGGATTCAGTTTACAGAGGGATTCAGTTCATTGGTCTTCAGTTTATAGAGATGAATATATAATTTATGTATAATTTCACAGTAGATTTGTTTCTAAAGCGATTTCTTTTTTCAACACAACACAGATGTCAGATACAATAAAGACAAGTTATCCATGACAGTTTAATTTTCATTCAAACTAAATGAAAATAGATGAATTGCTATTTCTACATTGTTGGTTGTAATTCAAACGGACGACTGTGGAATAAGCTTTTATGACAATAATTGTATTCTGTCGGTGTACCATCAATGTCTGTTGATTAAAGCGGCGGGCGGGTAAATGTCATGTTGATAACGAGTGATAAGATTGTTTATTTCATACTAATCTACGAAACTGACTACTGCAGCGGGAGGAAATATTCACCGAGTTTAATTTCAGTGGATTTGATGTTGCAGCTAGTTTTTTAATTCACTGGTTTGTGAAAGAAACAGTGCATTGTAATGAGCCCTATATAGTAGTTTCATGGTGTTCAGTTTAGCTGTAAGTGGGAGATTTATATTTTGATTGAACAGTTCAAAGATTACGGAAAAATTAGTTTTTGTACAAAAAAGAAATATTTTGCGTACAATACAAATACTTCAAAGATGTATGCGTTAATAAACATTGCATTGTAACTATGTACACGCCTCGCTAACAATCAAGTGGCATTAATATTAAAAATGATACTATAAATAAACTATAAAATATTCTTAATACGCATTGCATTCAGAAATGTTCAGCTCTCAATTAGTTTTGTTATTATTCTCAAAAAACGCCACACTTTAAATTATTTGATGATGCAAATGTGGCTGACTTGAGACACGATAAAATGGGTCAGTGTTTTCAGCGATACAATCTTTAAAGGTAAATCGGCATCATTAGAATAAAGACAAATTGTGTGTATGCGTATTAAAGATTTAGATACATGTGTTGCCATGATGATTCATATGTATTTATATTTAATTAAGCAACTATTTAATCAACACTATGTAATGAGACAAGCACAATGAGAATACTGTAAAATACTTTATTTTAGCTGGAAAGAGTTTTTAGATTTTCACTAATTTTTGGCAAGTTGAAAGTCAAATATCGGAAAAAAGGTTTTATTTTCACTGAATCATCCCTTCAGTTAAAATAGCAAAAATTGATTCCAAGCGAAAATAAAGTATTTTACAGTAGTTTTAACATCCTAAATTTTTAAAATAAGTCAAAAATGACATGATGAAAAAAAACAATATATAAAGATAAATTTAGCGCATTTTATGCAGTGTATTTAAGTTATCCAAAAGTGTAATATTTGTTATTTAAGCTTTCCACCCCTCTGATGATTAGTGGTTTAAACCACTCATAAGAAGCCAGCTAATTGCTGTTCCAGCACTACAAAAACTCATTACCTGTAATTGATTTTGTAATTAGTGGGTGATTGTTTACATAATTATTTAATGTCATATAACATTTCAGCATCACCTAACAATCACAGTACACTAATGGTATTTAGTCTCCTTCTTTATACGACTTTATTAAATTTATTACGCTTCCTTGTAGCAATGATTTATTCAATGCCAAAATAAACTAACAGCATTACAGAGTTTTAAATATCAAAGTTTATCCTATCGGTAATAACGCAGCGCTTTCATTGAAAATTCTAATATATTTCGATGTCAAGATGTGAATATATAGCATCCATATCATTGGGTACTGAATTATAATATAATTTATATTTTGTTAAATTTAAACATAATCCTTTTAATCTGACAGCACATTATAGTTTCAAAATATTATATTTAAAATTTAAAAAGCATATTTTAAATTTCTGTGATAGAGCATAAGAACTTATATTTAGTAGTTAAAAATTACAGCGACCATATTTAGATTCTGTGATGTTGTTGGTAAATTTTTCATGGATGACCCACATATAGGGGGAAACAGATCTAAGCTCAAGGCCAGTCGATAGTTGTACATTGTACTTTAAAATCATTCATTTTAACTATATTGGAGGGAGGGCAGTCAGAGACTAACAAGCCTCATTTTGTGCAAATTGAAGAAAATGCATAATGTTCAAATTTCAATGATTGATCAGCACGTCCAAATGCTGACGATCAATCGGCTTCTCAACTGATGTTCAAATTTCATGTGCTAAAGACTTTTGCAGAGTGTTTCAACACATGTGCGTTCACAAAGATTGGCTTCAGTTTCATTCAACCTGCAATAAATGTTAGAAGTTTAATATCTTTCAATGATGTGCTACAATTGGGTATACTGCAGATGAAGATCTAACAGGGAAAACTACAACGCATTTTGAGCATACACATATTTAAATATTTTTAACATTTTCTATAATATTTTTGCAGACATTTTAATTCTCTATGATACCATGTAAATTTTGATGCGTGATTACAGTAATTTGAATATCCCTGGAAGCTATCAACATGCGAGTTATTTCAATCCATTATTTTCTATGTGTCATTATCATCATTGGCACTCTCGCAGACAGGTGTGTTATTACCTCTAACAATAATGAAATGAAAATTGCACTGGACTCGCATCACAACAGTAATATATGCTTTTCAGAATATTCAAAAAAGTACACTAATAAAACGTGATATATGAGAGATCATTCCAATATGTGGAATGAATTAGAAGTTAATTATAGATTTCGATTCTATTACAGAAACAGAGTCAACAACAAGTCTATGTAGTTCGGGTGTGCTGCGAGCGAGATAATTAAAAATCATGTTATTCATAAAAACAGAATTTCACTGCAAGGCAGGTGAAATTCAAACCCACCAATATTTGGCACATGAAGTCTATATTGACATATCTATGTGAATACTGTGTGAATATAAGAATCAGTATAATCTGAATAATAAGGTAACTCAAAGATTACCAATTTAAGAGTTTAAGGCTAAATAATTTATAATATGCAAGATGAAAAAATTATTTTTAGCAATTTATTTCAACAGGCTACATTTTAAATAAATCTGTGAATGGATTATTGGATGACCTGAATTTACAGTTTGACTTCGATTCTAATCACAATAAATGGTAAGGTAATACAATGTATTGATTTCTAGAATATGGTTTACAATTTCAGTGATTTTAATAATTTCACAAGAAGATGTTTACATTACTGCGCTTTTTGTGTGCTTTTGACACTGTGTTGTAGTTGAGCGTGTAGGATACGAGAAAATGGCTTCAAATGAAAAAAAGACAATTTTCATGAATAATAATTATTAATTGGTGTTCACGCTAAATGAAAATCCAGAACAGAATTTTCAAGATTTTTTATAACTCCTGACATTTGGGAAAATAAAGCAGTTTTTAATATAACTGTAAATTACTTTATTTTCGCTCAGAATTAATTTTCGCTAAAGGAATGATTCAGTGAAAATAAAATCCAGTGAATACACCTAGTTTCCTATATTTTACATTCAACTCTTTAAAAATCAGAAAAAATAAACTCCATATAAAAAACAATTTTTTTTTCAGCAAAAATTAATTCCAGCTAAAATAAAGTATTTTACAGTACCTTATTTTCTATTTTCTTCTTATTCTTATTATCACATGCGTTTACATAAATCACAGAGGTCAAAGTAAAATTTCAACAATTCAGTATAAAACAAATGTGATTTCCGGTTTGATATGCGCTTCTAATAGAGCAAATACTGTATTTGTACTTGATAAGCATTGATCCGTATAAGTATTGTTCACTTCAGTGAGGATTGTTGATGCAAGAACTTCATAAAAACAGGGTTACTAGATAAAACAGGTCACAGATACCGTACTCCTGTAAAATGATATCCTCAAATACATACAGTAAGTCATGTAACAATATATGCGCGTTATTAGAAGCACATCTCCAATAACAACTGAAAACATACAAGCTGAAAAGGTTAGCTGTCTTTAGAGGTATACCTTTATCTGTAATGCAAACTCTGGTCATTTATGTTAAAGCCTATACTCTTTGAATAGATCAAGTACTGTGCATGTGGTATCTTTTGAATGTAAGCATTAGCTTTAAATGATCACCCTAGCTTCTAAGTTAATTGTCAATATTGATATATCAGATTACAAGATGTTGGCATAATGGATGAATCATGTTCATGACTTTCTCTCTGAAGAAGGCTATAGTTGCTGTGAATCCCTTGGACTGCAGCGCTTCATTGAAGGGATAAAAAAGCAGTTCAACTTTTAATTCTAGTACATATACCCGCTCTGATAAATAATTTGATGATAAAAGTTTCCATACTATTACCATGGACGTACTAGAGATGGACGCTGCACGGTGATTCACACCTGATAAGACGCATTGTCTTTCTATTGTACTCATCTTAAATTTATGAATAGGCAGACGTACTTTCATCTTGGCTGAGTTGCCGCCCGATCTTAGTTTTGATTTTTCACGACAAGATTCGAATCTTAAATTTTATAATATATTGGGTCAAAAAAAAAATACAGACCGCAGACCTTGCCCGTGAGCTGGTGCAATGTTAAGTTGTAAATCAAAGGTTTAACGCAGATCCGTATGTTCTAGGCAAGTTTACGAGCATATCTGTACCGATTTCTACATTTGTTAACAATTTTAATTTAATATTGCCAGTAAACCTGGTGTGAGCGGATGACAATTTTTTTATCCCAAGTTCAATTCGAGTGAAATTTACAGATGGCACAAAGCTGGAAATGTTCGGAAAAGTTCGGCTGTCGTAATTCGATGTTAAACATGGACTTCTTTAACATTAGCTTTCGCGAGAATCTTCGAGACTTTGCGTTGCATCGTGGGATAGTTGGGACGATCGGGACAAAACGAAGATGAACCGGGCTATAATCGGGCGTGTTCGTTTCCCCTGGACAGGAAATTATGCAGACACGATCTGGATTAACAGTAATCTGGCGGCGGTAACGCACATACATCAAAGCACAGTCCCTCTGACTGTGATCAAAGTGATTAAACACCGTGCAGTGTCCATCTCTAGTACGTCAATGCTATTACTAAGCAAATTGGTAGTCAGTAAAATATGACCTGGTCACTTGACGTACCACAGTGCCTCATCAGCAACAGCATAGCCTAAGAATTGTAAGCATAGTTCTTAGTTTTTTAGACAATCTCAGATCATACAATAAATTAACATAAGTTATAAATTGATATTACTAATTCATGGAACTGGCTGATGATACATCATGTCAGTATTACCCACTCACCTCAGGTTATTATGGAGAATACAAGTTCATGTCACTTATACCAACTATAGCCGCCATAAACAAGAAATATCAAGTGATAATATCTTGTAATAATTTGTTTCTTGAAAGTCTTTGATGATCACCATGGATTACTAGTCAAATATACATGATGGCGGGAGACTGCCGCAACGTATTCTGTTTGACATGGGCGCCATGTGATGTATACAATGTGTGTAAAATATTTTTTTTTTTTTTTACACAAAATTTGAACATATGTTGTGTGGCAACCATCGTCCTTAATTTTAGCATTTATGTTGTGTGAAACAACAATCAGACTGATAAATAATATACCAGTTGGTATGGCAACCTGTGTTGGCTTTGCGCTGATCAAGGCATGTCTAAGACATATACATGTACTCTATTTGTATGGCACATGCTAAATGTAAATGACAGTAATATGTCTATGGTCAAAATAAGTGATTTTCTGTTGGTATACGTAGACTACTGTATAACTTGTATTAGTAGCTGCATTCCTAATAGAAGCCACACACATTCTTTTTGAACAATTAAGAACAAAAATTCACTATTTTTCATATGTGTAGATGTCAGGTGCTGCATACATTCAGTTGTATAGTACCAATTTAATAGAAGTCATAGCTTCTAATACAGATTTTACAGTACTATTGTAGACGCACTTTTAATAGAGAAAAAACAGTACTGGAAGAAATCAAAGAATGAACACCTGGATGGAATGTGTGACGTGATCAAGATGGATACTGAGTAGAGACTTACCTGATATCCCAGAGATAGATGTAGGTATCCACTGAGCATGTAGCCAACATGTTAGAATCAAAACATGACCAGTTAACATCACTGTAAAGAGTAAAGAGAATCAGTTGTTATTACAATGTACATGGTGGGAGACATTGAGTACGAAAAGGGAGTAGAAGACATTGGAGAGGAGGAGACATAGGCAGGAAGAGAAGTAGAAGACATTGGAGAGGAGGAGACATGGGCAGGACGGGAAGTAGGAGACATGGGCAGGAGGAGAAGTAGGAGACATGGGCAGGAAGAGAAGTAGGAGACATGGGCAGGAGGAGAAGTAGGAGACATGATGGATGAAGAGCAACCAGAGAAATTTCTGACCTTGTAAACAATGTAGAGAATAGGAGTTCAAGCCAGGACCAGTTAACATGGGAGAGGAGGGGACATGGGCAGGAAAAGAAATAGGAGACATTGGAGAGGGGGAGTAGTGGGAGACATTGGAGAGGAGGAGACATGGGCAGGAGAAGTAGGAGGCTTGATGGATGAAGAGCAACCAGAGAAATTTCTGACCTCGTAAACAACGCAGAGAATGGGAGTTCAAGCCAGGACCACATGCTTACAGGTAAAGGCAGACACATTCACATGGAATTTGAAAACTCATTGTATTTTAGAATTCGGCTCTGACATCTCAGTACACTGGCACTATGTACTGATTACAAAATCTGGTCAGGTACCTATGAACAATACTTTGTAAGCAGAGTAGACTTATGTTATTCTGCTTCAATCGTTAAGTGGGCATGCTTTAATCAATTGTAATACTACGTCACTTTTATTTCAATAGAAATAAAAAAATTCCATTACAAATAAAAGGAGAATATCACATCTGTTTTTTGTTACAAGTACATTAGCATGAGTGTCAGTGGCAATAGATGGCAAATTAACAGTCTGTTTGCAATGGATAGTTGCCAACTTTTCTGGTATATACAGAGAAAGACATTGTTCAGTCCAGCTACACACTCAAAAATTTGAGAAAAAAAATTTCTGTCGGTGGTGGGTGAATAGGAATCTCATTCTTTCCTTCATGGTTTTCAAATTTATACAAAAAAACACAGTACTTGAAGTTTTGCACCAAATTGAAAGATTAAATTTTTATTATACATGTACTTTCAATATGGCATTAGGTTACAGAGTAGTAAAACCATTTAGAATTAATTGAACAATTCATTAAATAATTCATTGAACAATTCATTAAAGAATTATTTAAAGAATTCATTGAACAATTCATTGAAGAACAACATTTTCATTTTTTTTTGCAATGGATTCTATAGTTAGAAGTTTTGATTTGTGAACATTTAATAAAACATTTAGTTTTCATTGAGAAATATTTCCCCACAATGCATTGCTATATATGCTATTATATATAAAGCTGATGCAAAACATAAACTTGGCTTGGACATTGTTGAATGGAGCAAAATTGAACTGCACTATTTTAAGAATAATGAAAACAGTAAGACATGTAACAATAGGAAAACCAAAATTCAAGCCTATCAACCACGTACATTGTATGTTACAACTTACTACTCATCCCTTGATATTACCCACAATTCAACAGTTTAAGAATAAAGTATCTATAAGGTCATTTCATCACTATAACTTTACCCATAATGCAACAGTTTACGAATGTGGTATCAATAGGTTCGCGACATCACTGCTAAAATCTTACCCATAATTCAACAGTTTAAGAATGTGGTATCAATTTAGACAATGCCAAGTTCAAACTAAATGTGTGTACGGCCTGCTCATATCAAGTTGAGGAAGAGTTCATTATTTGAACAACAAAATACTATGAATGTATTTGCCCAGTATTCTCAAACAGTCTGCTGATTTGAGGCCAAAATTGTTACCGGTACTTACAAAGTAACACACGTTAGTATTGTCTGTATGTATGTATACTTTCCTGTTATGTGGGAGTAAGCATTGTCTACACACTGTCATCTCAGATGAAGTAGCTGGTCAGAAAATCTAGCGTGTATACAATGTATGCAAACAGTGATAGAGCCATACTGACATATGAAAACAACATAGACAAACACTCCACATTAAACAGTGAAATCAGTATTTATTTAGGATCTAGCACATGGTCTAAAGTAATAACTTGTTATCATTGGTTTTAAGAGGAACTTGTCAATCTCTCGGAATTGCACAATGAAACTTACAAAATAATTTCATCTGATTTCTTCTAAATTCAAGCTTTGTATCGGCATCCATGTAGGTATCATGTAAACCGCTTAATTTTCGCTGCTGGAAATGTTTTTTTATTTTTTTTATTTTATAGCATTTGCGAAGATAAAATTTCATGAATGTCACTGACACTCTGTGTAATTAAACCCAAAGAAAAATTCACTACTACAATGTTTTCACTTGACTTTTGAAATTCATGAGTATTTCTCCCAGTTGGCAGTATGTTGTCTAGCAAACACCTGTAGAATAGTTTAGATGAAGATCAATTTATTTCTCTCTGACCGCAACCTTACACCAATTTATAATTCGAGTGATAATAAGGTGGTGCTTCTCAGTAAGCAGATTCTGTCTTACTTACGAGAAAAGAATAAAACTTAATTGCAAAACAAATTAAATTAACACAATAGGAGTTTTATAACAAACTACCCCTAGCGAGCAGAAGGAATGTTATTGTTTCTTGATGAGGACAGTGAAGAGGATCAGACCTCTTCTATGATTTATGGGTCAGTTAAACTTCCTTTAGAATTAATTGCCAATTGATAACACTTGTTTATCCCATATATCATTTAAGGGCAGTGTTTGCGTTGTTGCTAATGTTCGAACTGTATGTAAAAAAGGATTGCTACCACATGTGTAACTGACAAGTAGGTCTAGCTCATATTGCACATGCTCGACTTTAAACTTTCTAGTGGAATCACAATTACCGGTACATTCAAGTCTACATCATTATTGTTACAGTTTGCGTAGATTGCACGTGCATGTCATCGTTCAGTATCTTGAATACGACAATGTTTTCCATTTGTTTTGCATATTACACAGAAAAAGATTGACGAAGAATACATTAGTGTCAAACCAAAACACCAAAAACAACAAATATTTGAAATTATTATATAATACCTCATGAGCCGATCAGATTTGTCTACCTCCATCCAGAAGTTATGCCAATAACTTGTCAAGGGAACACAATACACCACAATATTCATTAAATAACTAGTTTGCTTTCACTATCTTATGGAAGTGAAAACTAGGATTTTCTAGCAATTTTGCATGATTTTTAGTTGCACTTAGCGTGAATTTTGCCAGAACTTTCAGTCAAACATCTTGAGACCTATGATTATGCAATTCGTCTCTTAAGAATCTGTGATTAGTGAACTTTGCTGAGGGACGACATTGTAGTGTTTGATTTTGTTGCGCATTTTGTGTGTTTTGACAACAGTGGTAAAAAGGCTGTTTGTCAAAGTTGATAATGATGGTGAAAAGGTTAAGGGTCAAAGTTGACAATGATGGTGAAAGGTTAGGGGTCAAAGTTGACAATGGTGGTGAAAAGGTTAGGGGTCAAAGTTGACAATTGTGGTGAAAAGGCTATGGGTCAAAGTTGACAATGGTGGTGAAATGGTTAGGGGTCAAAGTTGACAATGACGGTGAAAAGGTTAAGGGTCAAAGTTGACAATGATGGTGAAAAGGTCAAGTGTTAAAGTTGACAACGATGGTGAAAAGGGTTAAAGGTCAAAGTTGACAATGGTGGTGAAATGTTAAGGGTCAAAGTTGACAATGATGATGAAATGGTTAAGGGTCAAAATTGACAATGATGGTTGAAAGGGTTAATGGTCAAAGTTGACAATGGTGGCGAAAGGTTTGGGGTCAAAGTTGACAATGATGATGATGAAAAGGTTTGGGGTCAAAGTTGACAATGATGATGAAATGGTTAAGGGTCAAAGTTGACAATGATGTTGAAAGGGTTAAGAGTCAAAGTTGACAATAATGGTGAACATGTTTGGGGTCAAAGTTGACAATGATGTGAAATGGTTAAGGGTCAAAGTTGACAATGATGTGAAATGGTTAAAGGTCAAAGTTGACAATGATGGTGAAAAGGTTAAGGGTCAAATGACAATGGTGGCGAAAGGTTTGGGGTCAAAGTTGACAATGACGGAGAAAAGGTTAAGGGTCAAAGTTGACAATGACGGAGAAAAGGTTAAGGGTCAAAGTTGACAATGATGGTGAAAAGGTCAAGTGTTAAAGTTGACAACGATGGTGAAAAGGGTTAAAGGTCAAAGTTGACAACGGTGGTGAAATGGTTAAGGGTCAAAGTTGACAATGATGATGAAATGGTTAAGGGTCAAAATTGACAATGATGGTTGAAAGGGTTAATGGTCAAAGTTGACAATGGTGGCGAAAGGTTTGGGGTCAAAGTTGACAATGATGATGAAAT